TCTTCACGAGTTGCAACACGGATGTCAATTTGGATCTCAGAAACCACGCCCCCTTCTGCCACTAGTGGAAAAAGAATGTTTTATACGGCCTCTTTATTCTGCTCATGGCTATAAATGGCATTGCCGTGGTGAATAATAATACATTAACCCTAACACTCCTCAATCCTTCACCTGTTGGAGGACTGAGGAGTGTTAGGGTTAATTAATTAAGGATTGCATTGCTCTTCACTTATTTCTTGAAATTTAAAAGCCGCCAACCCATAATATCAAAAAAGGCAAATCTTACCTCATGTGTCCCCCCACACACCATACAGCCTTTTAAATTTTCTTTACCTTCCAGCAACCTTTATATCCATTGTATTATGTTTTCTCTCCAGTTGAGAACGAGAATCACTGTGATTTTGTCAAGCTGCGCGAGATGCTGATCCGTACCAACATGGAGGATCTAATTGAGCAGACTCATACCCGTCACTATGAGCTCTACAGACGCTGCAAACTGGAAGAAATGGGCTTTGTTGACACCTCCCCGGAGAACAAGCCTATCAGGTTAGCACTTGTCATCTTTTTCAGTGATTCTAGTATCTAATATTGACTACCAGATGGGCACTAGCTCTTTACTGTAGGTTGTTGATCAATATTTAACCGCTGTTAACTGCTGTTGTGTGACAGATGGCATTGTTAGGAATATATGGCATCTTTAGCAAAGCTTATTGAGAGGGTAATATAACACATATCCCACATCACAGTAATCAGGAATAATTTGATCGTAATCATGCCAGTTAGTTGGAAATATAAAAGTTACGAGTTGCCTGTCAGACTTCAGTTTAACCTTGCAGAAAAGATCTCGGAGGGTTTACCCCATACATCTGACATGCCGTGCCACACAAAGTCACGTTCATTCGTACATACTGGACATGTGGCCATTCTTGTCTGCTGAGATATCCAAGAACAAGAGAAAGTGAATTGCTTTACGCCATGTAGCAGCCTCTTAGGTCGTAACATTTTAAGGTCATCTCAATATCTTGACAGTGTTCATTCATCAGGCGAGCAAGAGTATGCTAGACCAACTGCTAAGGAGGCCTTGATTTATGATCTTTGTGGAGGACGTGTTTCAAGTTGCACATGGTATCTTACTGGTTTCAACAAGTGTTCTCTCTGCTCTATGACACTGTAGTTTACAACAGACTTACGAAGCCAAGAGAACGGAACATCTCCAGATGCTGCAACAAAAGGAGGATGAGATGAGGCAGATCTTTGTGGTCCGCGTCAAAGAGAAGGAATCACAACTCAAACACATGGAGAAGGAGGTAAATCAACTGGACTTCACCTTTCTTCACCCCACATATGTTTGTCCTGATATCCTTTTTGTGCAGTGACTAATCTTGTGCCAAACCTATCGTTTGTTTGCATTTAAAAGAAATTAGGAAAATTGGAAAGTATTGGGTATGTTACAAGTGCAATTCTGGAATAGCTGTAAGAAGTTAAGAGTTTGTTTGCATTACAGTACTGAACAACTTTAGGGCATGCCCAGTGGTTATTTACGCTGACTTTGGCATTCGTCGGCAGAGCTTCCTCCAAAGTCTCTTGCTTTTGAGAAAAACCAAATGCAAAGTCAAGGTGTATCTAGCCCCATTTGTACAATTGGAGTGGCTGAGCTCTATCTTTCTCAACCCAAATCGTCCAAAAACTACTCATTGATTTGGAAAATTTCAGAGGGTTTGGCGAATTTACTGCAGGTTATCAAGTGTTCAAACCCTCCAAAGGAAAAGCCCTTCGATACTGCTGTTTTCCAAATTACTGATGTGATCTTAGTAGCACGTCTGACAAATGTCACTATCTGGCCTTGATTCGCCCCCAGCTTCATGAACGGTTTGACAAGCTGAAACGGGACCACGCCGACGAGAAGAAACAACTGGACGAGCAGCGGCGCCAACTGGAAGACGAAATCAACTCCTTCAACAGGAAGAAGCAGCAGGCTCAAGAAGACTCCCAACAGGCTCAGACCTTGGGCAAAGGAAAGAAGAAATAGACTCCACCCCCTCCCCTACACTCCACATCACAACGTGGGCTTTGCTTTTGGCTCCGTGCAAAAAAAAAAGTCAAGCGGATGGCTCGTGCAGATGTTTCGGCAAGCATTGTGAGATATGTCGCTGGCTTCATCATTATCTTGAAATCGGAGAACTGATGATGATGAGGTGGAAGGCTTGTCATTTTGGCAGTAACAAAGATCAAACTTAAGGGGCATCATTTCGTTGCCATGTACTTAGCATGTAGTTGGTTGTCCAGACTCGATGTACTTCAGAACAGACAAATGGCTTGAGCTGTCCTGGGTCCTGGATATGAAGCGTGCATTGTTGCACAGAATATCCCAGACACAAGACAGAGTGAAAGAGCTTTGCATCCCCATGTAGAACGCCCGTAAAAACTGTTAAAAAGGAAGAGGGTTTGAAAACTCCACCAAGAGATATTTGACCGTAACTCTTCACTCTCTTGGCACTGTCACAAGTAACCTTCCTGAATCCTCCAACATCCCTCACTATGCAGGAAACCATTGTCACATGCACTGTACCTCATCCAGTAAGGGGTGTCAGTCCTACAAAATGTGTCCAAATCCCCTCCAGGGGTTTAGGAGGACTTACCATGGGTAAGGTTCGAGAACGTCAAGCATGGTGTGTTTGCAGTGTCAGTGTCATAAGAAAAGAATGGAACAGGGCACGATATTGGACCAATTTGTTTGATGTTTGAACATTATTCAGCCAGTTGAAAAGTTGTAACTGAAAAGCGTTCACGCTTTCAGCGTGGATTTCCTAGGATACTTTTGGATTCTATTAAGTGGGTGTTCTTGTGGCTAAAAGTCAAGCCAATCCTATATGATTCATATCTGCTGTTCTAGAACTTCAACACTTTAATACCCACTAATTTTTAATGAACATTTGAAAAACATATGCATTACACTGAGCATAGAAGTAGCAGTAAATTGGAGGAAAAATAATATAACTTAGTGTAGCATAGTCATCTACACGTAGTTGGCATGCATAAGTATTCATGCATCTATTTTTTTTCTGTAGTAGTCATGTTTTTTATTCTATTGTACATAGAAATTTAGTTCTTAATTGTTCATTGGTTTCCTTACCTGCTTTAAAATACATGTACTTTGTCCATTTAAGTGCTGCAATATTTTTCAGATATGCCCGCCTGTGTCTCCTTTTTGTTATGTTATGATGCCACCTCACAGCTAATTTAAATAGCCCCCTCTTGTGTTGAGTGAAACAAGCTGCGGGTACATTGGGCTTATTGTAGGATGGGAGATTGAGACTTGTACATGTAGCAGTTTTTGGGAGTTCTGAAATGAATAGGACAACACACAGCACTCTTTTATACCACCCGCTGTGCTTGCATTTATTGCATTATTATACATGTGCTGTGGTTTAACTCTAAGCCCAGATTAAGATGAGAAGTACATGTACCGTGCAGTTTATGCTGTCAAATTTGAGTTCTAATTGATTATAATTAACTGTTTAATTCCTGAATGTTTAATATTTTAATTAGAGGTCACAAGGGTCACATTTCATCATAGTCTGGTAATTTGTGTCATCTCGATGGCCTCGATGACTCAAAAAAACTAACCCCCTCCCACTGTTAATTTTTTTCTGATGAATGGTCCTTCCCCCCAGAAATCCCCCAGAAAGAAGTCTTTGCCCCCTCCTTTGGATGCAATCCTGGTAATGCCAATGCTTTTAATGCAAATCCTAAGCTTACCAAGGGCTAGTGGCTATAACACTGTTTACTGTATCACCAAAAACCATTTTTCTTTAGCATTTTCTTGATACATTAATATGTACATGTTTTCTTGACCATTTTTGCAAACTTTGTACAATCACATGTACTTCCAGGGGTATACTCTGGAATCTCTTTTCTGCTCTGTTCAGTTTGTTAACTTGTCAGCATTAAATACATGTAGTTGTTTGTGAATGCTACATAGTTTAAACTTTCTAGTGTAAATGTACATGTATGTGGTAGTTGACTTTGTATTTATGAGTTATTTGATGGTGCTGTAGCTTGTATTGA